AAAAAAAAAAAAAAAAAAAGAGGTTTATTTCTGAATTTGAAGCCACGAAGAAGAGCCTGGCCTCTGGCCTTTTCAAAATGGTTCTGCTCACCCTTCAAGTTTTACAGTCCGCTTTTATAAGTTCAGGGTAGTTGTTACCTATACATAGACTATGTGACTAGCAGAGCATTGTATAGAATTTAAGTTACAGCCGTATTTTGTTAGTGATGACATTTATGGTCCACATTTCCTGGCACCGGTTACCACAAGTATCTTACAGCTTCTTCTCAGTAACACCCAGCAGAAGTGTTAATCAAGTTTGCCATAGAATAAAAGGGGTTAACGAGGTCTAAGACATCATACGTCACCACATGTTATACACAAAAGTTATACAAACCATAAGGCTTATGATTACATTGATACAAAAGTTACACAAATCACAAGACTTGATATTATATTATTCAAACCTTGATATTACTCAAACCTGTGACTACTAAGAAAAGGGAATAGGCTGGGCGCAGTGGCTCATGCGTATAATCCCAGCACTTTGGGAGGCTGAGATGAGAGGATTGCCTGAGCCCACAGGTTCGAAACCAGCCTGGGCAACTTGGGGAGACCTCATCTCTACAGCAAATCAAAAAATTAGCTGGGCATGGTTGTGAACACCTGCAGTTCCAACTACTTGGAAGGCTGAGGTGGAAGGATCTCCTGAGCCCAGCAGGCCGAGACTGCAGTGACCGTGAATGTGCCACTGTACTCCAGCCTGGGCAACAGTGAGACTCCAACTCAAAAAAAAAAGGAAGTAAATGGGATTTTACATCTATCAGTTAACTGGGCACAGAATGCAGGGAAGTTAAGGATTCTTTGAGGTTATTTACTGGGAGTGCAAAGGAGATAAGGGAAGCACACCTTTTGTTAACTCTAAAGAACGTGGGTACGTGCAGGAACATTTGAATATTTGCTGTGCCCTTCTCTAAGGGTTGTGGCAACATGACAGACAACAGCAGGTTTCTGTATCTGCTGAGCCCAACTGTGGTAGCCATGAGTGTGCCTCTGCACTCCAGCCTGGCCGAGAGTAAGATTCGACTCAAAAGAACAAAAAAAAAAGAGAGACAGATAAAAGATTTACACCTGCCTAGGCAACAAAGCAAGACTGCAAGAATCCATATAGGCATGACGCACTCGTCCTTAGTCCCAGCTACTTGAGAAGATGAGGTGGGACGATCACTTGAGCCCAGGAGTTTGAGGCTGCAGTGAGCTATAAGTACACCTGCACTTCAGTCTGGGCACCAGAGCAAGACCCTCCCTGGAAAAAAAAAATGCATCCCCACTCTTCTCCTTATTCTCTTTGTCAGGGTTTCTTCACCTACAAAAGAAAGCAAATGGAAGTCAGCATGACAGCAGGTGTTGCTACTGCATGAAGGAAGTATTAACCCTGCACAGCTTGGCCTCAGCCCAGTCACGTCTCAGGTCCCCATGTTCCTCTCCCACCCCCCAAAATGTTCTCCCCATTGTGTCATCTCCTAGCCCTCCAAGAGGGGTTGGCTGCTATGAACAGAAAAGAGTCCAGTCCCATACAAGACATCAGGAGAATAGGAGAACAACAGATCCACAGAGATAAGGCCACACCCAGTCAAAGGGCCCGTTTATGACCGCCCCTGCCTGGGAGCTGTCAAGGAGTCTTCATTACCCTCATTAAACAAACACAGCCTGTAGGACGCTGGCACAGCAAACTCAGATTGTCCCCCACACTGTACTCAACAGAACACAGAAAAGCATTAACCACCCCAAGGACGGCATCCGGGCTCCTGGAAGGGAGTCAACTACGAAGGGATGAACTCAACACTGGATGAAAAGAATGCGAACCAGTTACCAGGTGATTTCCATCTCAGTGAATGCCTTGATTTGGATACTCAGTTCTCATCACTTTGGACTTCAACTTTAGCATAACTTAAGCTAAACTCTAGTTATCTATTTTTTTTGTTTTTTAAGACAGTGTCTCACTTTGGCACCCAGGCTGGAGAGCATAGCCTGGACCTTCTGGGCTCAAGCAATTCTTTCGCCTGGGCCTCCCAAGTAGCTGGGTCTACAGGCACATGCCACCACACCTGGATAATTTTTTTGTTTTTATTTTTGTAGAGAGGAGGTTACACTACGTTGCCCTGGGTAGTTTCAAACTCCTGGCCTCAAGCGATCTTCCCCACTCGGCCTCCTAAAGTGCTGAGATTACAGGTGTAAGCCACTGTCCTGGGCCTAATAATTATCTTTCTTTTTTTTTTTTTTGAGTTGGAGTCTCACTCTGTCACCCAGACTGGAGTGCAGTGGTCGCTCCCGGCCACCGCAGCCTCGACCTGCTGGGCTCCGGCGATCCTTCCGCCTCAGCCTTCCGAGTAGCCGGAATTACAGGCATGCGCAACCACGCCTGGCTAATTTTTTGATTTATTGTAGAGATGAGGTCTCGCCTGCCCAGGCGGGTCACGAACCCGCGGGCTCAGGCAATCCACTCACCTCAGCCTCCCAAAGCACTGGGATTACAGGCTGAGCCACCAAACCCAGCTTAGTTATCTCAAATTTCAGCGTTTTCTGCCTATCTGTACAAAAAAGGAAAATGAGGCAGGGTAGTCAGCACAGGTTGGACATAGATACATTTCCTGTAGGCAGGTTTTAGGCAGTGTTCAGACACTTTTCATTACTTTTTTTTTTACTTCAGATCAAGCTGGCAGCCTACCCAACCCCTCAGTTAATCGAAAGAAAATCCCATCAGATGTAAGACTACTAGAACTTTCCCTTCATGGTTTAGCATAATAATCACTAAGAATCTTTCAGAATCCCTGTCAAAGGCAAAAGGCTGAATACCATCCCTTAACTGGCCAAAGCCACAGAAATGATCATAAGACCACCTTTTAGCTCACGAACTTGTGAACTGGAAACATCTGGCAGATCTCCTATAAAGACAATGTATTCTGAAATAGACCACTTTCCTTCCCACGCCTCCCATCAGAAGGGGAGAGCTGTCAATCTCCAGAGTAGGTTGCCAGCGTGGTACCCTCTTTAGTTTATCAATTGTTGTGAAAACATATCCAGTTTCTTAGTTAACAGCAAAAGCGCAGTCCTTCTGGTTGGAGAGACTTGCCCAAGCCAGGCATTTCTGGCACAAGGCTTTCGCCTGCCCTTTTTTCCTCTCTTCTTTCTCTGATAAACTTTGTTTGAAAACTTTGCAGGCCATTCTGAAATTCACTTCAGGGTTGAGTCAAAGACTCCAAGAGTTTTGCACTGTATCATCAGAAAAGCATTAGGTGAAATTGCCATAGATTACCAACTACTATAAGCAAGCCCAGGTGGAAAGCAAGGCGCCTTCACACACACAGTCATTTCAACTCCTTGCTTCTAGAACACTGAGGAGATAAAGAGGACACCCGCTTTAAAAGCACCCAGCACAGAAAATCTATCAGCAGGCTTTCCATTTCACAGATTAGAAAGCTGAAGCTCAGCCGGGCTCGGTGTCTCACCCCTGTCCTCCCAGCACTTTGGGAGGCTGAGGTGAGAGGACTGACGGAACACAGGTGTTCGAGACCAGCCTGGACAACTTGGTGAGACCTTGTCTCTACAATAAATCACAAAAACTGGCTGGGCGTGGTGGCAGGCATCTGTAGTTCCAGCTACTTGGAAGGCTGAGGCGGAAGGATCACCTGAGCCCATCAGGTCGAGGCTGCGGTGGCCATGAGCGTGCCACTGCACTCCAGCCTGGGTGACAAAGGAAGACTATGAGTCAAAAAAAATTGCAGTAAATCATATACAGCCAGGCCTCCTTCCATCAAATCACTAGACTCACCCGAGAAAAATTAAATGATACCTCTTTTTTTAGTCATTTTTAGAAATAGTTTGAGGGTTAAACATACATCTAACATGAGACCCAATCATTTCATTCCTGGTTTAGTCAAAAGAAGTGAAACCACACGTCTGTATGTTTATACAAAGACTTGTACACAAATGTTCATAGCAGCTTTATTGGTAATAAGCAAAATCTTAAGTTGACTATAGGTCAATAAAGTTGGCTTTTTAAAAAATTCATGAGGGGTGGGGGAGGATGGTTGTGGTTCAGAAATTACCTACGGGGCACAATGTTCACTATCTGGGGAATGGGCCATCAGAGAGACCCACTCCCCACCACTGCACAATATGTCCATGTAACAAGCGTGCCTATGTACCCACTGAATCTAAAATAAAGATTAAAAAAAAAACTTCATGCACGTACTTGATATTGGAAAGTATTTCTTTCTCAACTGGTTTTCGACAAGGTAGAAAGCCACTCTTAATTTTTACTCGATAGCAGATGTTATGAAAACTCAACACGGCGCCTTCCGGGGACATCTTCAAGTTGTCGGAGGTCGTCCCAGGCAGGCCATTGGTGTTGCCTTCTGACATGGGGATAAACACTTCAACATTGTTGGAAGACATCTGAAGAGTTTCTCCTTTCTGTAGAGAAAAAAGCAACAGTAAGTTGACAGTCCGGGTAAACGAGCTTCCAAAAACTAGATAACAATACATTTAAAACAAGTCCTTTCTAAACTGTGCTGCAGCTGGGCATGGTGGCTCTCGTCTGTAATCCCAGCACTTTGGGAGGCCGAAGCGAGGGGACTGCCTGAGCCCAAGGGCTCGAGACCAGGCTGAGCAAACTTGGGGAAACCTCATCTCTACAATAAATCAACAAGTTAGCCAGGTGTGGTGATGCGTACCTGTAGTCCCAGCTATTTGGGAGGCAGAGGCTGAAGGATCACCTAAGCCTAGGAGGTCAAGGCTGCTGTGAGCCATGATTGTGCCACTGCACTCCAGCCTGGGCAACAGAGACTCCGACTCAAATAAAAAACAAACAAAAAACTGCATTGCAATGGGTAGCTTCATTTCCAACAAACAGCCCATATACTGTGGTAAGAACATCCTTAGAACCTATATTGGAAGGCAGACACAACTTTGAATATATAAACTCCAATCAGATGTCAAATACATCCATAGCAAGTAAAGAGACCCTCATAAGTAAATAAAAAGAGTATGAAAATTACTCAAAACTAGGTTGGGAGCAGTGGCTCACACCTGTAGTCCCAGCACTTTGGAAAGCTGAGGCAGGAGGATTCCTTGAGATCAGGAGCTCGAGACCAGCCTGGGCAACATGGCAACACCTTGTTTCCACAAAAAAAAAAAAAGAGAAAAAGAAACAAAAAAAATTAGCCAGGTGTGGTGGCAGGTGCCTGTTGTCCCAGTTACTCCAGAAGCTGAGGCAGAAGGATTGCCTGAGCCTAGGAGGTCCAGGTTGTGGTGAGCCATGATCTTGCTACTGCACTCCAGCCTGGGCAACAGAGTGAGACCCAAACTCTAAAAAATAAAATAAAAATTACCTAAAACGCAGGAAAAAGATAGATAAGGGTTAGGCATATTATATTACCACTCAAGTTCAGGGACAGGCTACATGATTATCATCAAAATCCCTACATTGCGCTTTTTTTTTAACTTGGGAGCTTATAGCATTGTTATTACCAAAAGGTGCTTAGTCACGCAGTCAGGAGAAATGTCTCTGAATGTTTGGCTCCAGACTTTACAACTCTGATTGTTATGCACCTCCAACCAGCAAAGAAGGTCCACTCCAGAATTATTTGCAACACCATAATGCCTTAATGAATGAACATATTTAAATTCGAGGAAAATTTAAAATTAGGTTTGAATATGATTACAAGCTTGCCATAGGGGCTCACGCCTGTAATCCAGCACTTTGGGAGACCGAGGTGAGAGGACTGCCTGAGATGAGAGGATTAGTTTGAGACCAGCCTGGGCAACTTGATAAGACCTCGTGTTTACAATATATCAAAAATTAGCCAGGTGTGGTGATGCATGCCTGTGGCTGTAGTTACTTGGAAAGCTGAGGCATAAGGATCACCTAAGCCCAGAAGGTCGAGGCTATGTTGGCTGTGAGCGTGCAGCCTGGGCAACAGAGTGAGACTCTGACTCAAAAAAAAGAAAATGATTACCTAAGTCAAACCAATAGTTAAAAGTCAAAGAATTTAAAACAAAAACAGAATATTAAACTTATAAATGAAGTTTTAAAATGTCTCGTTAGCCAAGCGTGGTGGCTCATGCCTATAATCCCAGCACTCTGGGAGGCTGAGGTGAGAGGATTGCTTGAGCCCATGGGTTCAAGACCAGCCTGGGCAAATTGGCAAGACCTCATCTCTACAATTAAATCAAGAAAAATTAGCCGGGCGTGATGGCGCATGCCTGTAGTTCCAGCTACTTGGAAGGCTGAGGTGGAAGGATCCCCTGAGTCCAGCAGGTCAAGGCTGCAGTGGCTATAAGCATGCCACTCCAGCCTGGGCAACAGAGAGAGACTCCAACTCAAAAAAAAAAAAAGAAGTTTCATTAAACAAGTTACAAGAGAACCCTTAAAATGATTTAATGAAGCTGGGTGCATTAGTTCAAGCCTGTAATCCCAGCACTTCGGGAGGCAGAGGCAAGAAGATTGCCTGAGTTCACAGGTTCAAGACCAAGCTGAGCAACATGGTGAAACCTCATCTCTAAATCAAAAAATTAGCCAGGCGTGGTGGCACATGCCTGTAGTTCCAGCTACTTGGAAGGCTGAGGCGGAAGGACCACCTGAGCCCAGCAG